TGTGTGTGTGTGTGTGTGTGTGTGTGTGTGTGTGTGTGTGTGTGTGTTTACACATGTCAGTCAGCAATATCTCTTAGGTGGAGGTGTAAGGTGCAGTATTGGGATACTGAGGGCTACTGTTAAGCTATGAAAGTTTTATTATTTTTGTCAGAAATGGGAAACCAAAAGTTCTGTTGAGTTCCTGTTTCAGCCGTTTTGGACCTCTCCTCCCTAGGCCAGATAGGTTCTGGGAGACAGCCATTTAGCACCCAGCTAGGTTGGAGAGCCTCAGATTTCCCCTCCCTTTCAGCCCTCAGGGGTAACTCTGAGCATAACCTTTCTTGGAGGACACCAGGCATGGCCAAGGGGGCGGGAGGGCTAGGTCGACAGATGTGACATCAGTGCCCCTTTGCTGGGAATAAAGAGGAGCCGATCTGCTATCTCGGTGTGCCGTGGAACCTGCCACCTCCTTGTCTTTAGTCTGCTCCGTCACTCGCTGACCAGTCTGGGAGGACAGCAAATGTTCCGTGTTCTCGGCTGGTGCCGTGAGATCATACAGCCCCCCAGAAGAGGGACCATGCAAATTTTGCCATGAAGTTCTGGGAAAGGCCAGCTGGACCAAAGGCCTTGGAGAAGAGGACCTGCAGCCTCTCAACCCTGAGGCCACAGCTCTTTGGCACTAATGTCAGACTCTTTGGAAAGAAATCTGCCATCTGACTGTCCACCAGCCATCCACCCGACTGGGTCTACAGATGACATTGTTGTACCTTGAACTGAGAACGTGGGAGTAGGTGGCTGTTTCTGGCACCCTGTGCCCTCGTCTCTAACAACAGGAACTACTTACACTTTGTCCCTAGCAGGCTTTCCCAGCCTCTGCTCAGCCATGACCTAGGACAGAGATGAACTTTCTGTTTAATTACTAAGGCAGAGAAAATGGTTCCTGAGTCTGAAAATGAAGCCTGTTTCACTTTCATTCACATGCACTGTGATGGGGTTATGTTTTTGCTGTGTGTGTGTGTGTGTGCGTGTGTGTGCTAGCAAGTGCACATTCTTAAAATCCTCTGGTTTAAACTAAAGTGACTCATGAGGAAGGAAACATTACAAAGAAAACAGAGTATGGTTTATTTGTCTATGTATTGAAACAAGATAAATAATAAATAAATGGGTGAGCAGTCTGCAGCCAGAGTCTGTATCTCTTTTCGTGGTGAAATGCCCAGAACACACAGGTGAACATCAGTGCTGCCATGTGTGAGGAGACCAGTTCCTTCCCTCTGCTGCTTGATAGAGGTCCTAGAGCAGTGGTTCTCAACCTGTGGGTTGTGACCCCCTTGGGGGTCAAACAGTCCTTTCACAGGGGTCACCCAAGCTCACCAGAAAACACAGATATTTACATTATGATTCATAACAGTAGCAAAATTGCAGTTAGGAAGTAGCAATAAAAACAGTGTTATGATTTGGGGTCACCACAACATGAGGAACTGTACTAAAGGGTTGCAGCATTAGGAGGGCTGAGAACCACTGTCCTAGAGAATCTGAATTTTATACTTTAAAGAATTCAGTTCATAAAAATAAAAATGCATTGAAAGGAGAAAGCCAATTTGAGAGCACTGTGGAGGGGATTCCCTGGAGAAACAACTGCCTAGGAAAGCCTTCTCAGAGCCGCACAGGTGACTGTGACAGTGTTCTCACAGGTGCACAGAGGCTGTGATAAAGTGGTCCAGACCATACCTCGGGCTGACAGGGGAACTTAGCAGGATCATTCATGTGGTGATGTTCGTTTTATAAGAATGAGACAGGTAAGAGCGATGGGGTCATGGAAGCTTGTTCCAAGGTTCCAGAAAGCTGCTGAGGTCAGACAATGTGCTGTGGGGCCAAATTTTCTGAAAGGGGGGCCTTGGGTGGCCATCGTATGAATCTATGAGGGTGTGCCCCAACTTAGAGTGAAGACACCAGGATCTCCGAGATGCCTGGACTGTGGGGCGTCCACTCAGGAAAGCTGCAGCTGTGAAGTAGCACTAGGTGAAGAGAGAGGTTATCTGTGTTGCAGGGAGCAGACCAGGAGATTCAGGGGTCCTGAAGGCTGGGAGAGCCCAGGTGATTCCACCAAGTGCTCCAGATGCCAGATATGGAGCGTGGGGATTTGGTGTCAGCTGAGGGTGGAGCTGTTTGGTAGGGCACTTGCCTAGTGCGCCGGGAGTCTAAGATTGATGCCCTAAACCCCATTAGGTCTGGGGGTGTACTACTGTAATCCCAGCACTGGGGAGATGGAGACAGGAAGATGAGAAGCTGAGTTCATGTTGCTATAAAGTGAGTCTGAGGCTAGCCTGAGATACAGGAGATGATATCTCTAAAAAGAAAAGAAAAGCTATCCATATACCTGCTTGTCTCAAAAGTGTAATCAGCTGAAGCTGGGGAGATGGCTCAGTGGTTAAGAGCATTACTGCTCTTTCAGAGGACCCAGATTCAATTCCCAGCACACACCTGGCGGCTCACAACTGTAACTCCAGGTCTAGGTGATCTGACACCCTTTTCTGGCCCACCAGGCATGCACACACAGCATCAATATGTGTGCAAGAAAAACACATAAATCACTGCTTGGCACAGAAAAGTGTGTTCAATAAATACATGTTGTATAATTAAATCCACGCTTTAAAAAAAAAAAAGTGTAAACAATAGGGCTGGGTAGATGACTCAGTAAAGCACCTGCCCAGCAAGCTGAAGAGCTAAGTTCAGATTCCTGGAAGCTTGCCGGCCAGCTAGTCTAGCCTACTTGGTGAGGACCTAAGGCCTCAGGACCAACACAGGATTTTTTCCTGATCACCACACGTACAGCACACCCACCCCAGATGTGTGCCCCATGCACATACAGATAAGCACACACAAGCGTACAATTGTTTTAAATTAAAAACAAACCATAAGAGCTGCTGGGGCCTGGTAACTTGACATTTTACATAAATGGTCAAGGCCAGAGAATTCAATGGAGCCTCCATTTTTTAAATCAGCGTGAAGCTTTCCGGTGTCAACCTGGAGGGGTCAGCTTTACAGTTAGCAGTCATGCTCAATCATTGTAGCCATCTCATGAAAACCTTTAATTCCTCTCCTCCACTGCCCTTCCAAACCACTTGGCGAGGAGAATACCAGCGATAGAGCTGTCCACGAGCTCAGCTTCCTCCCCTAGAGCAGGAACTTTCCAGGGGTACACACTGGTGTCCCTGCAGACTGGTGGCCTCACGCTCAGTGAACTGAACTCCCATGGCTATCTAAGGGGCAGCTGCACCTTCAGGAGCTTGGCCCCAATTTCCTTTACATGTTCCTCAAGGCTCCTAGCCGTTACCGTTTTCATCATCTGTAAGACTGCTCACCATCTGTGTCACAAGAAACAAAACGTGCACCTCCCCGCCACCACATCTGTGTGGTGTCTTTCACCCACATCCACCCTCCTTTCCAATCCAAGTGGAAAAGTTGATTCTTCTTCCTGGAAGCTAATCCTTGGCCAGCCAGCTGCAATAAAAGAAACTGACACATAAGGAAAGGCTTTGGAGCAATAAAATGTGATTGCAGAAATAAAATTTTAATATAAGGCACAAAAGATAAAGGTAAGGAGGACACCACTTAGATAGTAGAGTGTGGGGGCAGGGAGGGAACCACAGCTGCAATCCTAACACTCAGGAGGCAGAGGCAGGAGGATTGCACAGGTTCTACCATGCAAGGCTAGTCTGTCTCCAGACAAAGACAATGAGATGAAAATAGGAAAAATATTTGAAAATCAGCAGACTGGTCAAACACTGGATTCTACTAATAAACAGCTAAGTTCAGGGGCTGGAGAGATGGTTCAGCAGTTAAGACACAGGGGACCAGTGCCCATCCTCAGAAGCGCCTGTAGCTCTAGTTCCCGAGGATCTGACACCCTCTCCTGGCCTCCTTGGGCACCCGGTATGCATGTGGCACACAGACATACATGCAGGCAAAACATCCGTACACATAAAAAATGAAAGTCAGAAGAAAATAAAAGGGAATGTCCATAGCATTGAGATCTGCTAGTGTCCAAATTGAGAGGTGACACCAAGTGCCAGGACAGAGGAATAGTACCGAACTGCAATACTGTAAAATATAGAATAAGGACAATAGAAAGAAGGGAGGAAAGCTTTCAAGGAGAACAAAACCAAGGAATGTGAACGATCATGACACCGGGTTTCTCTATAGTAATTGTTGAAACAATGCAGTAGAACTGTATCTTAACTATTTTAAAGGAGAGAATGGGGACTGTAGTTCAGTGATAGAATACAGCCTATCTATTATGCATGAGGCACCAGAACCAATAATCATCAAGGAAAAAGGGGGAAAAAATATGGTAAAAGAAAAGAGACGGGCTTGAGAGATGGCTCAGTGGTTAAGAGCACCGAGTGCTCTTCCAAAGTTCCTGAGTTCAATTCCCAGCAACCACATGGTGGCTCACAACCATCTATGAGATCTGGTGCCCTCTTCTGGAGTGCTGGTGTACATGCAGGTAGAACACAGCATACATCATAAATAAATAAATCTTAAGGAAAAAAAAAAGAGACTTGTGTTTCCAACGAGGTTGTCAGTCACTCATGAAGGTGGGAGAACACAAGCATACTGCTCTTCATTCTTTTACCTCCACATATCTGTCCATCAAAATGTGAAAATATCTGGCCATGGTGGCACACACCTTTAATCCCAGCACTTGGGAAGTAGAGACAAGCATAGCTCAGTGAGTTCAAGGTCAGCCTGGTCTACACAAAAAGTTCCATGTCTTCCAGAGTTACCTGGTGAGACCGTATCTCAACCTCAGCTTCCCACCAAGAGAGAGAGAGAGAGAATATATAATTGGTTGTTTTGATACAGGGTTTTTTTTAATGTATCCCTCGGTGTCCTGGACTTGCTTTGTAGATCAGGCTGGCCTTGAACTCACAGGGAGTCGCCTGCCTCAGCCTCCCCGAGTGCTGGGATTAAAGGCGTGTGCCACTACACCCAGCTC